AGGAAAGGCAGGCACACGTCTTCTCTCCCAGGCATCCTCAGCATCCCTGTGGGGGTTAAGATTCCAGGTAGTTTAGAAAAACAGTTCAGTCAAGGTACTTTTGCTTGGCCAAAGGTCAGTAGTCCATTTAGTCATGTGCTCTCTTCTAAGTACCTGCTGTAAAAGAGATACATGGGCTCAGAAATCTCCTGCAGATTTTACTGAGTGCTGGTGCAACTCCCCCAGGGTTTCTGAAAGCATAATGGAGGCTACTCTGTCTGCTGACAAGCACAGTAAAAAGAAATATATAACAGGTAATACAAGATTCAATATTATTTCTTGTGTACATCACACTACATTACAGATATTTTTTTCTCAAGGAGAAGTCACTAGAAAATAGGCTAGGACTCTTAAAAAAAATGTGCATTTTATTCTTTTTTGCAAAGCAGTTTGGAAGTGGAGCACTAGTTTTGCCAAAAGCAATTGCTGTGCATTAATATTAAACATGATCTAATGAAGGCAGAAGTCGTTTTGGGAAAACATTAAGAACAGCACAAGCATCTCCTGAATTATAAGTTTATGGCTGAGAGAAACAGTACAATGAAAATATAGGCATTTCTTCTGTCGAGGTTTTGTTCCATGACCTGGAAAAGGGGAAAAGGACAGGGAAAAGAGGAAAAACGACAGTCCCTCATGGAAAGTATACTTCAACACACCCCACCCTCAAAAAAACCCACACAACAAAACTGTAAAATGGACCCAAGCAAGCAGTCTTTATTGTAATTAACAGGAAATCCACAAAGCTGGAATAAAATGTAATGGGGGAGGGGGAGAAAACTGTTTCTATGCATAAAAACAAAAGTATCAGTCCAAATAAGTGCAGCATTTGGTGCAGTTCAAAATGCTCCTTTCTTTCTGGCATATATATGAAGGATGCACCAATTAGGGAACATGTGAATCATCTGATCGATGTACAAGACAGAACAAAATAAAAAATTGGCATCATTCCCGAAGTCCTTAAAAGGGCATTTCTTAACATTTGTCTGGTTGGCTAGAATAACAAACTAATCTTCTCTACTGAAAGTCAGACTGCCCCAACAGGGCACGAAAAGACCTCAACTGTGCAGCTCATAACTAGCAAAAGCAGATTCACATAAAGAAAAAATTGTTGATGCTCTTGCTATAAATCTGTCTCTATTTACATGTTGCAGTCTGCACCTTGTGGCATCCTTCAAGGCCTTATACAAATAAACATAAGGAGGCATTTTTGAGAGTGCATTGACCCAAGGTACCTGACAGTGAGTGCTTGGAATCACATCCTTGCCAGCTGGCTGCAACAGAAAATGTAATGATTCAGCAGTTTAATGGATCTTGAGTTTGGCAACAGTCCCCTTGTAAACATCTCTGGGGAAATAAAATAATACAGGCCCAAGACTCTGGCAGGTTCTATAATTGTTTGCTTCTGGCACAAATCCAGGCACAGCACAAGCTCTAACTTAAGGCAAATATGGCTGTACAACGCTCTGACTCTCCAAGCAGGCTCTATTCAAAGCCCAAGGGTAGAATTAACTTATAGCTTGTCTGACGGGGAGACAAAGATACCAGGAAAGCATTCAGCTGAAAAAAAGTCCTTAAATATTAAACTGCCTAAATCAATAGTGCTCAGTTTCACAGGAAAAGTCTTTTCTCTCGACTTTTTTTTTTTTAACACAGAAGAGGAGGTGAAGTTTGTTCAAAGTTGAAATATGGCAGGTTATAAACATCTGCCTTTGTTATTAAAATAAAAAAAATGGCTAACAAACTGTGAGAAAAAAGAAGTTTGAAAAAGAGGCAACAAATGACGCTGTCACAGCCACTATGCGATAATTTTCTATTATCTTACAAGTCTTCTAGCAAAATACTCACTGGAAAGCCAGAAAATGAAAGATGAGTTCCCAGCTCAGAGACTCATATGTTAGGATCTCTCAGCTATTTTATGAAAATAAAATCCTAATTCTTAGCACTTTGACTTCCACTTTGGCCTTCTGTTCTGAACTTCCCCCAAAATTTATACATACTAACAACACACAGATTTACCTTGGAAGTAACATAACAAAGTGGGAAAAAGCCAGTAGGACCTTTTCATTGGCTCTACGCCCATGGAGTGCCACCAGAGAAAGGGGCCACCCTGCGAGCCTCTACACACGCATTCAGTGGAGCAGCCACCCCTCCTTCCACACCATGATATGTGGTCCCTTTATTTCCTATGCTCACAGGTGAGATGAATTTTGAAAGCTACACTTCATGGGCAAGGACTTCGACAAAAGGCCGTAATATATACAGAGAAATACAAAAGCGAGATTTGGGTAGGTTGTATTTGATCTTTTATTTTCAGACTGCTTGTAGTTCGATCTGCCATCTACATATATTTATATCTAGGAATTTTTTTTTTAATCTTATCAAAAACAGTAATGGCATTCACTGACTTTTCTGAATTTCCAATGGAAGGTTCTTAAGTACCGAAAACCTCTTCCATTTTACAGATCCACAAGAGGAACTCGTGGTATTGCTTAGCCTTCTAAAAGTACAAACTGCATTGCTGGGAGAAACAAAAAAGCATCAAATCACAAGTGCAGCTGTGTTTTGTTGTTTAGGCTTTGTCAATCACTTCTCATACCATGAAGGTATGCAGGGACTCCTATATCCACTAAGTTCCTCAAACATGCGCTATCAAACACAACAATTAAAATGAAGTTAGTAACCTTTAAAAAAATTTTAGCTACTATCTCCCCCAAAACTGGAAGTGCTATCTCTAATGCAAACACTTCCAATATTTCTCTAGTAAAAGCACTTTATTTTAATTTGGATACAGACTAGAGAGCCAAAACATGTAGACACTTACAACCATGTATAGTACTTGACCATGTTCTTGTTCATTATTCAGAGCACTGCCTCCTGACTCTCTCCACCACCAAACAGGTATCCTGAGAGATCCCCAAAAGCCTTTTTTCGTTCTGCCTCCAAAATCAATTATTATGCCTGGTCATTTGCCTAGATTCCTGGATAGCTACTCAACAGAAATTTGGAGCTTACAAGAATATTTCATGGCAGGTTTACTGGAGCTTATTATCATGGAAAGATACTAAAAGAGCAGGCTGAATGCTCTGTTGCTGTTAAAGCTTCTTCTATGGAAACATTAAAAAAAAAAAAAATTACCTTTAGTAATTTCTCATAACACACTCATCACATTGGTTATCACAGTGATGAGTACAATGACAAGCCAAGACTCCAGTAGCTTCTGAAATCTAAGTGTAGGCAAGTTTTCATAATCTTCATTGAACATGCATGAATTTCTTAAAAGGGCATTTAACACTTGCACATCAATTAAAACCTAAAACCTTTAACATTTATTAAACACTACTAAAATTCAGTAAATAACTTAAAAGCAGCAATCAGCTCTTTTCAGCCCCAGTTTTATTTCCAGTTCTGCTGCAGCAAATAAACTGAGGAAACTAATACAAACGACGAACTATGAAGACAGAAGTGAAAATACTTCAGAGGGTTGAAGCCCCATCCTTTGTACTCTACTGGGCATACCATACAAAAGAAAAGGAGAGCGCAATGAAGATGTGGTTACAGCGTTTTTGAACAGTAAAAGTTTCACATCATGCCGTTAAAGCATCACTCTATAAAAAGGTACCGCCATCGGGAGAAGCTTTAACGTGTAAATATTAGATTCCAATCCATATTGTTGTCCACAGGCAGGCAGAGTCGAACTGGCGGCACTGCACAGCCCCTGGAATCGACAAACTGCACAGCTTTTCCAGCTACCCAGCTGGTGTGTCGACAGCTCCATTTAATATTCTTGTCTAGTGATACAGCAAAGACCTCTCATGCCTATTTTTAAATGCACATTTTTAATATTCAATATAATGTTACTCTTTAACAAACTCTTTACTCCCTGCTTCTTTTATGAAGCTTCCCGTGGTCTTTAAAGGGATTGTTAACCAAAGTTCTGCATGAGCAGATTCAGAAACACTCCATTAAACCTTTCAGTATTTAATATAAAGAGTAATCTCTCACCTCTGAGGAGATAAGCCAGTTGCTGAGTGATTAACTCTGGTGCCTCTTGAAGAATCTCTTTTACTACTAAAGAGGAAGAAGATGCTTGTAACTCCAGGCTGCCGTCACATTGCTCATCTGGATTGATGACTTTGACAACAGCCGATTCCAAACTTTTATCCTCGCTATCAAGCAAATTTAAAAATTATATATATTTTTCTTTCTAGCTGCTTAGACAACCCAGTGAAACAGTGCAAAATTTTTTTTTAAATTCTGGACTATAACACTACCGTTATTGCTACTTGAAGTCTGTTATAAAGCCAAAGAATGTCACAATGAAGTCCTAAAACTGTAATTTTTTTAATAAAGTGTTCATAGTGGTTTTATTGCTTGATACATCACTAAGTACTAAGACTTAAATGTTTACATTTCCATTATCAAAATCGTTAAAAATTAATAATTTGAAAAAAATATTTCTACATGCACTGAAAATATCACTCTTCATATAGGGGAGATTTGGGATTTTGCCCATTGAATATTCTGAAAGCTCTTAGAAAAGATCTTTTTTTTGCATTTAGACACTTCAAGTTTCTGCTTATAATAGCAATAACAAAGCCAAACTATATTTAACAATATAAAACGCTAATTATAATTCTTTAGAAGGAAGAAACACAGGAAGGGACAATAATAAACAAAAAGCGAATCTTATGGATAATTTTTACTTTCAAAAAGTGGATGATGTACCGAGCTGACTGCAGTTAAAGAATTAATAGCTATGAGATTTATGCATATTTCTAATTTCAGATTTTCCCTTCTTTTACTCTAATCTACAAAGCCCTCAGAGTAGATGGGGCCATAGCACAACAGGATGTTTCTTATCTTAAATGAAGTTCCAAAGAGAGTTGGAAGTAAACAGCATCCTTCACCCTGGGCAAGACAGGCAGACCACTATAAAGAGGCGCCCTGTAAAAGATTCACTATGGGCTTGTAAATATTCCCTCTTAAGGATGGGTATATGGACTACGGTCTTCCACAGAGTAACTCTGAGCCTCTAGCACTGTGGACATTTTGAGAAAAATGCTGTTGTTTGTAAGGACTGCAGTGATCTAGCAGCCATCCTAACAGCACATATGCAAGTGTGCTGGCCATCTCCAAATCAATGTGAGAGTCTTAATGCCTTTAGTGAAAGCTAACAAAGAAGAAGGGAAAAAATCTGATCTCTTATTTACTGCTCACAGGAAACTTCCAGACTATTCAAACTAAACTAAAATATCTAATCTAAGCTGTGAAAACACAAGATCCTTAAAAAGGGAGTTCCATTAAAAGTGATGGAAAAATGACTATTTAGTTTGTTACATTTATTGGACATAATGGGAGACAAAATATATTTTAAATTCCTTTTTTTTTTGCCTGTGTTAACTTAGCTATACCAATATTAATGCAAAAAAAATGTAAAACATAATTTTTAAAACAGCTCAAACCCGCATAAGCCATCTTGTTGTACATACAATGCAATACCTTGTCAGCATGTTGCTGTTTACAAGTGTTAAAGACAATTTCCCTTCAGCATTCAGCTGGTGCAAATTGATTTCATCTCGGAAGATATGGAATGACTCTGGGATATTCAGCTCCTCCAATATAAATCTTGTCTCTGTGAAGTAGCTAAAATCTCTTCTTGGTATGTTCAACACGGGTAAGCAAAGAACGTCAGGAGGACTGACCTGTAATGTAGGCGTACATTTGTCAGGGTTGCATAAAGTAAGACCTGTTTTTTATTAGGAAGATGTTTTAATAGAGTGAGCGATTAGAATTTTCTGTTTGTTTTTTCCCCTTTTACTTCATTTTTTAAAAAACATCTTTTGCTTTTTTTCTTGTTCTTCTGTCTCTGTTTGCCTCCTACAGAATCACCAGGAAAACTAGGAAGGAGAAAGGAGAAAGCATGATGTACAGGGGTGATTTTTTGCTGCTATTGAATAAGCCACCTAATACCCATTCATTAATTTTTGTATGGAAAGAAATGTAGATTTTTTCTATTTAAAAAACCTCACCTCTGATTACAACAAAATCATTGTCCAAGAATAATGTTTTTACAGTATGTTTTAGTTGACTTAACAATAAGATGTCTGTAACAACCTGGAACAAATGAGTTAAGACCACTCGGTCCATTTTTTCCTTTACCTTGTCTAGAAAGTAGGCATAGGCCAGAGTAGAAATGAGCGAATCCAAATCACAGGCTTTATTCCCAAGTACAACATGGACTTTCTCCAGGCGTTTGCTCCTGTTCTGTAACACATTAGAAGACAATTGCAATGAGTGACAATGATGAGAAAAAACAAAGCCCAGTCACCAAGACACTTCAAAAGACAAGTTAAATATCAGGCATTGTCCTCAGTTGTCGCACTTTTCGCCACTGGCTGAAGGAATGCACTTACTGTGGGACCAGACACGTCTCCTTGGCTTCATAGCTCCCAAGAAAGGCAAGAAATCTGAGTTTCATCAGAGACCCCAGACAAGATCTAACCCAACAGAAGTCCCTTTAGCAGCAAAGTAACAGATAAGCAGCTTCATGTATACGTGGAAAAAGCTTCTGAAAACACCTCACAAATCTCATAGGAAAAGCAGTGCCAAATAGCATGGAAATACACACAGCAAACTATACATAGCAAGTTGTCATTTTAACTTTCCCCTTTTTCTTCGCCCCGCTGAAATCAGTAACTAGATACAGTGGCTTTCACCCTGCCTCTTCAGAAGCTGAACATGCCCGGTGAAGCACTGAGGTCTTTGAGTCATTCTCACTTGCAAAGGGAACTGAGTCTGTTCTGCATTTAATAAAAGTAGGAGCCTTCCAAACATGAGGAAAAGAAAAGACAGACCAACTGTGTGAAAGCAAAATACTGCAGGGAAGTGTCTACCTTCTTCATAATTGCACACACAAAATGTAAGGTGGTGTTTTTCTCTTGTGCGCATCATTAATGTCAAGCTAGCTGCACGGAAACATTCCAGTTTATTTTCTTTTAATGAGCTATGCTTCTTAATTTGAGAAACTTATCTGACTGACAGTAAGGTAGATGTTTAAGAACAAAATACATAAAATTAGACATTTTTGTTGTTGTCGTATACAGGCTGATGTACTGTTTGTTATTTCGAATTAGGATTCTGGATATAAAATAAAATTTTTACCTTTCAACAGAAGTATATAATTAGTATATTATCCTCAATAATTATAAACGTGCAATTATTTTCAACTAACCTTTTTTCTCTGTGTCTAATCTTACCTCTATCTGGATATAAGGAAGAAACTTAGTTCTCTTTGCCTTATATGGAACACAGCCATCAAAATACCTTTGGGTAATAAAACCAGGACACCTATTCTCCATTTGCTGTGTATTGGGAAAGACGGACAGCTTTCTGAAGAGTACAGTGACTGGAACAGATATGTTAGTTTAAGCTGGAGACCTTCACCAGCAATAAACTGTCTCCATTTTCCTCTTTGCAATATATTTTTTGCCATATCGTTCTTCTGCAGCATACATTTCTGACTGATCTGCCACCCTAAGGAATGAAAATAAAGTTCATGAGCTCATCCTTTTTTAGTACTATTCAGTGTATAGAAGCCTTTTTCTTTAGTTCATCATAACTGCATAGCAAATGACTCAACCCTGAAAAAGAAGGAAACTGAATGAACTGATAAATTGATTATTAAATCTATAAAGTCACACACCTCTAGGAATCCAGTGCAAGCAACAATATAAAAAATTTCAAGCCATCTGATGCTGTTCTATATCTACATATTCCGTACCTATAAAACAATTTGCTTCCTGTTGCTCATATTCCACAAAACACTATCCCATATAGAACTAGCAAGGATCCTCAACAGTCATCTGAGTTTCAATGATGAACGTCAGACCTATTCATGTCATCAGGTACATGAGTGTTTTCTTTTGAAAAATTAAGAAATTTTTTGTGTTGTCTTTAGAATTCATTCTCTCGGGACTAAAATCTGCCCACTTGTTTCTACAACTCACACGTTAGCTGTAGCCTTGTTACACAGGTATATTGCAGTTCTAAAATCTGTAGAAAATAATGTGGGAAGAGAACTACCGAAGATGGAAAACCTCTTTGTCTTAACAGCTGTTTAAAAGGAAATGAAGAATTCACATTTAAAAAAAAAAAAACAAACAACCCAACATCTTTCACTCATTTGTATGTGCCATCATGCTCCACTTCTTTATCACATCTTCAGGAATGGAGACAGAATAATTACACCAAAATTGAAGAATTCCAAGGCTGAAAATTTCTGAACGCTACACTTGACTTCTGAAGACATGAAAAAAGCACGGCTATAAAGAGGAGAATACAAAGAGAACACAGCGGAGTAAGAAAGCTCTGGAGACCATCTCTTTGTAATCCAAGCAGGTCAACTAGCCATCTGAGGACCGATTTTTTAGCTCCAGTGCACCAGAATTTCATCAACCCATATGAACCAGAACAGACTGTGGAAGGACAGGCCATCTCCTCGGACTGTTCTCGAGAGCTTAACAAGAACTCTGAGATGGAGGTTATTAAGCTGGATTTTTAATATAACAGTAAGCAGACTAACAGCGAGAGGGTGTATTTCTTGGTTAGGCTGTTAACATACTACCCCTCCAAATGACTGCTGGTTTCTTCCAGAATATTTCTGCCTAAGACAAACATGCAGTCAAGGTAACCTACTAGCTACTTTAAGGAAAGGGAATGAAAAACAAATTTCTGAAGGTGTTCAGGCATTTCTGTTGCACACTGCCTTTCTCTGGTCACTCCAGAGAGGATATATTTTTATTTCATCCACTACAATTGGTAATTTTTATGACTCTACCTCTCCCTGAGTAAGAATCTGTTCAATTGCACACCAACTACCCCTTTCACTCTCTAATCTCTCATTTGTGACTTTTAGCAAAGTGTTTTTGTGATGGGGTTTTTCTAATAAAATATGACAGCTATTCTACTAATGTTAAAATACAAAGTCAACCTGTAAGCTGTCTTAATAATTAATTCAAGTTTCTATTTCACAGATTTCAAGGCCAAAATTGGCCAGAACAAACAGCAACGAAAGTCTGTGTTTTACATTCTGATGATGTAAGACACACTGACGAGAGAGAAAAGTGATAGTCCATGTCTTGCTTCACCTGAAGAATCTTCATTAAAAAAAGTGTGAAAGCATGATTTTTGAAGAGGTACCTTCCAATACCAAATCATGTATTACCAAACTAATGATTAATAATAAAATAAATTTATATCAATAAAGTTGTAGAATACGTTTGGACAGTTAATTCTTCCTGTAATTCTGGAAACTCATGAAGGAGCAAAATATAACAAAAACAACCTAAAATGTGGCTCTTAATTATTACTAAAAAAAAAAACCAAGAAGATATTTGCTATTATTTTCCTAAATGAAATCCTCCACTTTCTGAACAAATATTCTTATCCACTTAACTAATCTGTTCTCCTAAAGACAAGTTGGATTTGATGATCCTTATGGTCCCTTCCAGCTCCAGATATTCTATGATTCTATGATATGTTTCTAGAAAACAGCATAAATTTGATATAGATAGAAATAGATCACGCTTGCAGACAATCTGCACCAGCCACAGTTAGAAGTCCCATCCTAGTATTTGCATTCACATAGTATGTGCTGTCCCATTAGAGGAGAAGTTAACAGGAAGATTAGAACCATTGCGCTAAGCAGCAACTCCCCTAAGCACACGGATGTACCTCCAAACCATAGATCAGGAGTTACGGTCCGAGAGCTGCCATCTGCAAAACTGACCAGACAAGGACACCTACAGGGGAGCTGTCCTGGTTTCGGCTGCGATAGGGTTAAATTTCTTGCTAGTGCTGTGTTTTGGATTTAGTATGAGGAGAATGTTGATAACACACTGATGTTTTCAATTGTTGCCAAGTACCCTCCTAGTCCAAGGACAGCTCCCATGCCTACTGACTGAGCTAGGTACACAAGATGGGAGGGAACATAATCAGGACAGCCAGCTCAGCCGGCTAATGGGGTATTCCATACCATGTGACGTCATGCTCGGTATATGAATGGTAGGCGTGACCCAGGAAGTACCGATTGTTACCTGGTTATCGGTCAGCGCGGGTGGTGAGCAATTGCATTGTGCATCACTGATTTTGTATATTTTATCATTATCCTTATTATTCTTCCTTTTCTGTTTTATTAAACTGTCTTTATCTCAACTCACGAGTTATTCGCACTCTTACCCTTCCGATTCTCTCCCCGTCCCACTGGGGGGGGAGGGGGGGAAGTGAGTGAGCAGCTGCGTGGTATTTGGCTGCCCAGGTTAAACCACGACAGGAGCGCATGAACAGGTACATGCTATCCCTGACACAGCTCAGTACATTAATACTGAATTATTTACCTTCCCAGTCCCCAGTGATAACCACTGAAATAATTCAGCGACATATAAATATCACACGTGCATAACCTATTCACATGGACAGTATTTTCTACTCCAAGCATCTTTATTATTTGAACTGGGTATTTATCTGATGCCAGAATCACAGACAATATATTTACATTTTAACAGATTACTCAAGACAGCTAGGTAGCATCTCCCCTGTTCTACTTTAACACAGGAAACCTTCTTGTACAAATAACACAGATAATTTATCAAAAGCTTAGCGATGACCACAGTGTTACACAAGTGAAAGGAGATTAAATATCGTTTTTTCCTGTGCTGGACAGACAATTTGAGATCTGTGCATCGGGTAAAAGATCAACTCTGCCAAACTGCAGTGATAAAAAATTGAATGCTACTGCCTGGAAAAAAAAAATGGCCTCTTATCCTGATAAGTCTTTGTTTTCTCTTATTTTTGAGGACAGAAGAAAAACTATTATATTTCTCTCTGCCCCTGCAGTATCATATTTATCATATACAGTATATAATATATATTGTAGTTTACTGTAATAGTTGTAAAATACATGGTTACATAGTGGGTTCTTCCCTAAGGAACATAATTTAATAGAGAAAATTTCAAGTGTGCCATATTTTAATCATTACCTGTTGGATCTACATTGTACAATGTTGCTTTACTTATGGATCTAAAAAAAAGCTTTTACAGCAAACATAAATCCCACTAGCAGAGTAAAATGTAATAAAACAAAAGGGCAATTTTCTAAATCCACACCTTCTGCTTTTGTATGGGAGACACAGTCTTACAAAAAAGATAAACAAAAGTGGAAGGGTCATAAAAATTCAATGCCGCCCGCAGAAATTGTTGGATAGGCATAAAATATCACCTGATATTTTGTGTTGAGTAACACAATGATGACAAAAGACTATGACTAGTTTATAACAAAGACTACGAAAAGGTTTTCACACCTTAGTTGTCATGCATATAGAACTTACCTGGGGCCTTACTGATATACATATTTTACCGGGTCTTACCGGCACTCCCCCCTCTGATGGTGACTGCATTTCCCAGAGGAGGTTGAACATAGCCTTGTTGAACAAGCATTATTGGTCTTCTGAAGTTAATACTTTAAAAGCCATATGTAAGACTCAAGAGCTTGCTAAAGAGAGTTTTATTTAAAACTGCCATTTCCCAAAATCGCACTGTTCCATAGAAGCACACTGATCCTTCAAAATTAATAATGGAAATGAGGCAGGTTAACTATCTGGCATGCCAGCCAGGCAAGGAAGTCCTGTCCTAGATTATTCCTGGAATTTTCACAAGACAGGAGCTCTCTTTTCCAGTCATTACTAATCAAGAATTGGCACGGTCAGTTATTGCTGCTGAGAATTCAGTTCAATATTTCTGCATTAACAACAGGCTCTGATTTGGCATTCTGCAGACAGACAATCTTCATACTGTTCAAGAAAGAATTCCTACCAACTGCAAACATCTACTCTTTTTTCACTTCTAATTAATTTTACAGAATATAACTGCATGCAAGTCTGCTCTGCCTGTTCTTAAAATACCTTCCCTCTAACTTACCACATCTATTTATCCACATTGCAAAAAATAAAAATGAGCAATGATTTCTACATGCAATTTTCATTTGAAAAAGAATAGTTGGAGTAATCAAATAATGCAGAGATGTCATTTAAATATCAAAAGAAGCACCACAGAATTAAAAACATCAATCAAAATCTTGTTGGGTCCTTTTAAAATTAGATTTACTCCATCAATTGGTTTGGCATTGATTTTCCACAACAATTTATAAGCTTTACATGTTCACACTCTTGCTTCTCCAAATTGTTGCCTTTAGGGCCAACTTTTGAGACACCACTTCTACTGGATCATGGGGTGTAAGTATACAGAATACTCAATAGTATCTGGTTTTC